TTCAAGCACCTTCGCGTTGTCCAAAGCACCTTCCCGATGTCTAAAGCACCTTCCCGATGTCTAAAGCACCTTCCCGATGTCTGAAGCACCTCCTCGAGATCCAAAGCACCTTCTCGATGTCCAAAGCACCTTCTCGATGTCCAAATCACCTTTCCGATGTCCAAAGCACCGTCCCGATGTCTAAAGCACCTTCCCGATGTCTGAAGCACCTCCTCGAGATCCAAAGCACCTCCTCGAGATCCAAAGCACCTTCCCGATGTCCAAAGCACCTTCCCGATGTCCAAAGCACCTTCCCGATGTCCAAAGCACCTCCGCGATGTTCAAAGAAAAACTCATCATCATCCGCGCTGTCAGGCTTCAACAGACCTTAAGCGTTCCAGTAAGCAACTGCTCCCCGAGGTCCTAAAGCCTAAGTCCTTGCGCGCGCCGGAGACGACGCATAGTTGCACCTGCTTCCATGCACCTCTCCGTCCGGACGGCCCGGACGGACACAGAACACGAAATTTCAAACCACACACGCGCGACGACCGAGGTGACGACGCCCGGGCAACGTGACGGCCTGTCGCGACGCGCGGTGACGAACTGTGACACACTTTGCGTCGCACACGCGTCGCGCGGTTGCGCCATGGTGGGCCGATGGTGGGCCCGGCGCGGCGTGCGGCATGGCCGGGCATGGCGAAGCAGAGCCTAGCGCGGCCGGCCGGGATGGCCCTGATAGCGCGTTCAAAGAGAGTCGCTTATCGCGGTGACCTCGCAGCAGCGCCGCACAGTGCTACCAGGTAGAGGACCCAGCCTAAAATAGGCTCTGTGTGTGTGTGTGTGTGTATTAGTGAGTGTGAGTACCCGTGTGTATGTGAGAGTGTGCATGTACACGACGCGTGTCTGTTGCTCGGGCCTTCGCGACCTCGATTACTTTTTTTTGCATCTGCCCTCCCTTTTACAAGCACGAGTGTGTGTGTGTGTGTCTTTGGCGGTTCTGGTCCACATCGGAGTCCTTATCTAGGTCAGGGTGCAGTCTGGCTGGGCCGTATGGGCTGGGCGGCTGGGCCGGCGGCTCGGCGAACGGCGCGGCCGGCCAGCCATACTGCCGGGTCGCGTGGGGCCTGCTGGGCCTAACAGCGGCGGGGCGGGGCCGGGCCGGGCGGTGCCGGGTGGGAGGGGCGTTCTGATTTGGGAGGCCGAGCGCGCGGGGCGGCGGCGGTGGCGGTAACCTAGTTGCGAAGCAGTTACCCAGCAAGGCATACACACACACTCGCACACACACACACACACATACGCATTCGCGTATACGCACGCGGAGATCCAGCCAGCCGCCCCCGCCGTCGTGTGCGTAGTGCCGCAGGAAAATGAGCTGGGAGGATGAACCTCGCCGACCTGTGCGCGCGCGCGCATGTGTGTGTGTGTCTGTGTGGGTGTGGGTGTGTGTGTGTGTGGGTGTGTGTGTGTGTGTGTTTGTGGCGCCGTGTCGTCCGAGCGGAAATTGGATTGGGAGAGGTTTGTAGGGCGCTGGGCCGTGCCGCTCTGCCTTGCTCTGCCTTGCCGCGCCCCGAAAGGAAAGTGGAGCAATGCGGTAATCCCATTGGAGCCAAACGTCCAAGTCGCGGTGTCGCATGCCCTGCAGGGCGCATGAAACGGCCATGGGGCCCTGCCGTGCCGTGGGTCGCCATGGGCTGTCAAGAGTCACCATGGGGTGCCATGGGTCGCCATGAGGCGTTACCCTGGACCGCCATGGGTCGTCATAAGTCGTCATGGGCCGCCATAGGCTGTCAAGAGTCACCATGGGGTGCTGGTCGCCATGATTCGTCGCCATGGACCGCCATGGGTCGCCGTGGGTTGTAACCATGGGCTGCCATAAGTCATCATGGGCCGCCATGAGTCAGTCATCGTGGGGTCGAGTGCTATGGGTCCAGTGCTATGGGTCGTCGTGGGCCGCCATGGGTCACCGAGTCGTCATGGGTATAGTCATGAGCGAGGGGGTAAACACTCCGTTGAAGCTTGTACAGACTACTCCCTATTACGGGGTATCACACTCGTATTACGCATGTATTACGCCTCGATTTCATGGAAAAATGCCATTTTTTGATACTTTCGGTCCCAAAATGTATTACTATTACGCGTATTACGGCGTAATACCCGACTTTTGTGTACAGGGTATTACGCAAGTGTTTACCCCCTCGGTCATGAGTCGTCACCATAGGTCGCCATGAGTCGTCACCTTAAGACATGTCATAAGTCGTCATGGTCCGCCATGGGCTGTTATCAGATGCAGTGGGATAGCCCGGCGGGGGCGGCAGTGGAGTGTTCGCTCTGCCCGCTTTGCCGATGTGGACCGTTCGTGGCGTGGCGTGCCTGCCGTGTGGCGATGCGGGCAATGCGGCTGGCAGTGTGTCTTGTTGCAGAAACACTCGGCGCGATTCGCGAATTGGGGCAAGACGGTCGGTCGGGGTGCAGGCCGTGCAGGCCATGCAGGCTGCGGGGCACGGCGGCGGGGCAGGGGGCCTGTATACGGGAGCAAACGGTGCAACGCGGCGGGGCCCCGCCGCCCCGCGCCGCGGTCGGAGAGTAAGAGAGATGACAGATATCGGTGTCTGCAACCGGCGGCGTGGGCGATGCAGGCAATCCAGGCGCTGCAACGACCCGCTCGCTGTCGCCCCGGCGCTCGCCGACGTGCAGCAAGAGGCCCTTGCGGCCCTTGGCCTGCAGACTGAGAGTCGTTTTCGTCGCTCTGTCTCTCTCGCACCCATACGGGACGCCACGTCAGTGCGAGAGAGACAGAGCGACGAATGCGACTCTCGGAATCAGTCTGCTGCTGCTGCCTGGTCTCTCTGGTGAAGTGGTGCGCCGCCCGCCATCCCTCACCTGGGGAAGGATTAGCAATTAAAATATTTGAGGCCAAGGCGCCAAGGCCTGCTGTACGCTGCAGCTCGCTCCGCGTGTGTGTGTGTGTCTGCCTCTCTCTCTGTCTCTCTCTGTCTCTCTCTCTCTCTCTCTCTCTCTCTCTCTCTCTCTCTCTCTCTCTCTCTCTCTCTCTCTCTCTCTCTCTCTCTCTCTCTCTCTCTCTCTGTGTGTGTGTGTGTGTGTGTGACCCAGTGCGCAGTTCAGAAAATTTACAATGTCTCCCTGGTGCACGACACACCCCCACCACACGCGGCCTTTGCAACTGCGAATTTTTACTTCTCTTCTCTTTCGCTTTTGGTCTAATGGTCGTTTTTTCGAGTCGGCGCGCGGGTTGTTGCTGGGGGTGGTGTTTGTTTCTTAAGATTCGTATCGCGCCACTGTGCAAAGCCCGGGGGCTAAAATAAGGTTTGCGGGGCGCGGCGGCATGGCGGCCAGTGTAGGGGCGGAGTGCGCCGAAAGAAGTGTGACCGCGGCGGCTCTCTTGACGGCGGGGCGGGGCGGGGCGGGGCGGCTCACACACGTGTTGGCTGTTTGTTTGAGCCGAAAGTGCACGTCAATGCGGTCTGGCCTGCTTAGTCCAGCTGTCTGGTGGGCCCTGCGCCGCCCTTGCGGCTGCGGCCTGCAGCGGCCCATGCAGCTGCGTCGGCTTGCAGCTGCACTAGGAAAAACACGCGTGCACGCTCACTAGGCACGTTTCTTCTCTTCAGCCCTTCACTTCTTGCAAGTTAGTGAACGTTTGTCGAAGGTGGCCCGCGTCGTCTCCGCGAGCATTGTTGCAGTGCCAATTTATTTAGATCGATGTGGATTACTGTACATGTTCATCCGCCGCGTCCTGGCCTACTTCTGCGCCCTGTGCCGCTAATCTTTGTTTTTGTTGCTGATGCGGGCTATTTTTTGGTGTTTTTGTTTTTTAATCGCCTTGCTGGCCGCCCGAGTGCGCGCGCTTTGGCCAAGTCGATTGCGAATGGGGGATCAATGCGGTGCGGTCGCCGCGGCGCGGAAGGACAAGAGGACTTCCCCTCGGGAATCCGCTCTCCTTTCCCGCGCGGTTTTTCGGGAGTGGGAGTAAATCCGGATCGGCGGCGCGGCGCGACGCGGCCAAATACTTGCCCTTCTTTTCCGGGACCCTCTGCGGTGGCGGGGGTGGGGGAGGGGGGGGGGGTGAAGGGCGCGCCACGGCGCTGCCAGCCCTGCCAGGGCCGCCACTCCAGCGGCCTGGAGGACCCCCCTACACCGTCCCAGGGCCCGGGGGGGGCCGCCGGCGGGCACCTTTCGGGGGCCTTCCCTCCCCCCCACTTTTCGGGACCTCGTCGCATCCTCAAAAACTTTTCCGCCTATCTCTCTCTCTCCCTCTCTCCCTCTCTCTCTCTCTCTCTCTCTCTCCTCTCTCTCTCTCTCCTCTCCCTCTCTCTCTCTCCCTCTCTCTCTCCCTCTCTCTCTCCTCCCCTCTCCTCTCTCCCCTCTCTCTCCCTCTCTCCCTCTCTCTCCCCCTCTCTCTCTCTCCCTCCCTCTCTCCCCTCTCTCTCCCTCTCTCTCTCTCCCTCTCCTCTCCCTCTCCCTCTCCCTCTCTCTCCCCCCTCTCCCCCCTCCTCCTCCCCTCCCTTTCTTCCCCCTTTTCCCCCCCATCCCTTCGCCCCTTTTTTCGCCCAAGGGGCAAAAAACGGCCAGGGCCAAGGGGGCCAGGGCCAGGCAGGGCCTGCCTGTGCCGTCCCCGTCCTGCCGCGTCGGAGGGAGAAGAACCCTGAACCCAGAAAAGCGGCCAGGGCCCCTCCAGGGGCGGCGGGGGAGCCTGGGGCCTCCCGAAGGGGTGCGCTGGGGGTGGCGGGGGAGAGCACCCAGCTGCTGTACCCCTGAAGCCGCCTGAAGCCCTGACCGGGGCGCGGGTTGGCACGGCGAGCATGGCGGCGACGCGCGAGGGAAGGCCCAGGGGGGGCATGGCGCGGGCCGCGAGCTGCCGAAGTGGTCCCGAGTCCGTCGCTCCGCTCCGCCCCCTCCCACTCGGGTGCCGCTCGGCTGGCCTGGCCTTCCTGCTTCCTCGCCCTGGCTGCCTGGCTGGCTGGCTGGCCGGCTGGCCTGGCTTCTCCCACTCCACTCCGGCGGTGGCGTGCCAGTGCGGCTCGGGACGGCGCAGAGAGCGGACACGTTCGTCGGCAGCGCGCTCCTCGCTCCGCCACTACAGTGTCTCGTCGCGCAGCGTGCTGCTCGCGCTCGTTGGAGTCGGCCGTGTCGGCGCCCGGACTCCCGACGCCGTGTGCCGTCTTGTGGTGTGGTGCCTCGCCCTCAAGCAAAGTGCCTCAGTGTTGTGCAGTGCTCCACTCAGTGATGATTGTGTTGGTGATATAAAAAAGTGCAAGTGCCAAAAGTGACGACGGAGGGCGGCTCTGCCTTCCCCCCGGACCCTTTTTGGATTACCACTCCGGGGCGCCCCGCTGCCTCGCGCAGCCCTCGGGGCCCAGCCCTGCCCCCCACGGCCCTGCGGCCCTGCCCCCTGCGGCCCCGCCCCGCAGCGCGACGTTGTCACGACCTACGCCGCCCCCCTCAAGGCCGTAACAGTGGACTTGTTCAAATTGGATTTCAATGTTAGGATGGCCCTGGCGAGGTGAGTACAATGTCACAGAGGTGCTAGAGTGAGGCGCGGCGTGACTGGCCGAACGGCACGCGGCCGCCGCGGCCTCCCTGGCGACCTTGGTCGAGACCGCCAGCGCGGCCAGGCGCGGCGCGGCGCCTCTCAGCTGATGGTGTCACGCCGTCGATCTGCGTCACGTAAGCGTTGCCACGCGCCAGGAAGTGGCAACGCTAGCAGCGCCAGCAGCGCCGAGGGCCTCTAGGCCGCCCCCGTGGCCGCGGAGCGTCGCGGAGCTCCGCGGAGCGAGCGCTGTGGACTGACTCCGAGAGTCGTTTTCGTCGCTCTGTTCCTCTCGCACTCATAGTGCGTCCAGTGTAGTTGCGAGAGAGACAGAGCGACGAAAACGACTCTCGGAATCAGAGCGCTGGGGCCCCCGTGCTCGCACGCGTGCGGCGGCCTGCGGCACTGCGGCCTCGGGGGGCGGCTCTAGGGTTGCCAACCGGCCGGGGTGGAGCCCCCCGTCGTGGAGGCCGACTGCCGCGTCGCGCACCGGCGCGGCAGCTGCACCTGGACGGAGGGGTGGCAACCTCCCCGGCCGCCCCAGGGTGCCTGCACTGTGCCTGCCGTGTCTGGCGGCGCAGCTGTCCGCCAGTCCTCCGCCGCCGGGGGATGGATAGTTTGTCAGCTTGGGTCGCTCGCTCGGCCCCGGCCCGCCTGTTGCTGGCGGCCGGGCAGCCCGGCGGCGAAGAATGGACGCACGGGGAAAACGAGTCTTTATCACTCAAGGTCATCCGAGATAGAAGTACACTGCACGCGGCAGTCGTACTGCGCCGCCGCCGCCGGCGGGGTCGGCGACGGGGATTGAACAGTGTTCGAATGCGTGCGGATGGGCCTACGGTGCAGTGCCCGCACTGCGAAGCGGTTCAAAGGAGCGGTCTGTCTCTCTCACGCCCTCTCGGAGAGCCCCACGAGTGCGACAGAGAAATAGCGACGACTCCTCGGGCACGCCCACTGCATCGGCGGCGATAGCTCGGACCTTATCGCTCTGCACTTCGCCATCGTGCCGCCGCTGCACTTCCCTGATGTGTCACTGCACTCGTCGCGTGCCGGTGGAAAAGCGTGCCGCCCGTGCGGGTGTTTGAACCCTTGGTCGCTTTGTTGTCTCTCGTTCCGCCGGGTGCATCATCGGTTGCTGCACCGCGCGCGCCGCCCGGCCGCGCCGCCACGCGGGGGCATTGCACTGGCAGGGCGGGGCGCGGCGGCGCGGAGGGCATAGCCTCGCCGGCCGTGGCCTCGCCGGCGTGCCAAGCCGGGGCCGTCCGAGGGGGACGGGACGGGGGGAAGCAGGGTCTTGTGGGAGGAGAGGAGGGAGCGGCAGGCGGACTCCGAGAGTCGTTTTGGCCGCTGGGTCGCTCTCGCACTCGTGGGCGCCCCGTGCGGCTGCGAGAGAGACAGAGCGACGAAAACGACTCTCGGAATGAGTCTGCCGGCGGGGCGAAGGGCCTGGCCCTCGGCCTGGCCGGCCCGGCGGACTGGCGAGCTTATGGAGTCGAGGTCTGCCGCGGCACAGTGGGCCAGAAGACCGGTGGAGGCGGCCAAAACTCTAGACGCGTTTTGGGCTGCAGAGTCGCTAAACAGGGCTCGAACCGAACGTGTGACCCCACCAATGGATACCTCGTTCGGAGAGCAATCCATTGGTGGGGTCACACGTGCCGTTCGAGTCCCATTTAGCGACTCTGGAGCTCAAAACGCGTCTAGAGTTTTGGCCGCCTCCACCGGTCTTCTGGCCCACTGTGCGAGGCGAGGTCGGCGCGCTTCCTGTTCTGCGTTGCGTCGAGCCGGACGGCCTGCCGGACGGGCAGTGTAGTGGCGGTCGGCTGACATTGGTCGTTCCCTCGTCCAGCGCGCCTGGCCACGCCACTGCAGCGCGTGCCTTGCGGCTGGGTGGTCTGTGAACCTGACCTCCCACGGCGACGCCGCGCCGCGGTTCGACTCCCCTCGCCGGCGAGGCGCGCGTGTGCGCCATTTCGTTCTGTCTGTTTTTGGCGCGGTGCGCGTTTGCGCCGAGCACACACTGTCATCTTGGCTGGGCGTGGCGGCGGGGCCTTGGCGGTGACCGCGCTGCCCGGCCGCCGGGGTGACCGTGGCGGCCGCGGCCACAGCAGCGCGGCCCCTCCGGCGGGGCTGCGGCGGCCACCATCAGGGCCACCCTCATGGCCGCATGGTGTCCGGTAGCGCTTCATTAGTGGCGGACGCCCTCCGGCGGGGTCCCCCGGGTCCCCCAGGTCCCCCCGGGGCCACCAGGGTCGCATCTTCTCCGCTGACGGCGGGCCTGCGGGCCTGCGGCGGCGGCAGGGCGTAGCGAGGCGTGGCGGACCACCCCGGCGGCCTCCGTCCCGAGCCACCCGGACCACCCATGCCGGCCGGGCGCTGCTTGGCGCTGCAGGGCGGGGCGCGGCGGCGCGGGGACGGGCACCGGCCGGCCACCCGAGCGGCCGAGGCCGTTATGCAATGTTCGGGGCCGTACCAGTGTACCGGCACCGCGCCGGCGCCACTGGGGCCTAAGCGGCGCGAGGCGGGGCGCCATGGGCCGACCTTGGCGCGGCCTCGGCCATTTGGGCGATTATCCGGCTTTGGTGGGCATGTTGTCTTGGAGACGGCCTCGACCGCCTCGAGCGGTGGCGCCGCGCCGCGCGCTGTTTGATGATCGGGCTGGGCTTTTTGTCGCTGTCGTTGCCATGGGCCGACGACCGGAACACAGAGCCGACGAGTGTCGCTGCGTCTCTCTCGTGCTCGTGGCGCACCGCGGACCCGTGCGAGAGAGGCAGGACGACGACGCCACTCTTCGTAATGAGCCCCAGGCCGGTGCGTGTTTCTAGCGTGTTGGAAATGCGGAGACAATCTGCCAATCGATGCGCGAGGAAGGCTCCCCTCCGTGCACTCGGTGCTGTCGTACTTCGCGGTGCACTGAGTGTGTGCACCGGTGGTGCACTGTGTGTGCGGGCGTGGCGCGCCGCGCCCCGCAGTCGCCTTGCCGTCTGGGACTCCCCGCCCCGCCGCCATTGATCGAATGTGTTTGTATTACCTGGCGGGCCCGGCGGCGGGGCGCGCCCGACGCGACACTGTCTGCCTTGGCGTGCATCCAGTGTGAGTGTGTCTGGCTGTGTGTGTGGCGGGGTGACCCTGCGCCGCCCTGCCGTACAGTGTACACGACAGTAGGCGCAGGGCGTGTAAGGCCCTAGGCCGGGCCCTGGGCGGCCGAGGTCAGCCTACCTGGCCGGGCTGCACCCTTCCTTAGTGCCCTTGGGTGAGGCGGGCTGCCCGCCGTCTGGGCATGCCGACAGGGGCCCGCACCCGCAACTGATTTCCGAGTGGCGTGACTAGGTTTTCGAGACTTTCCCACCGCACTGTAAAGACTCTAAATGAGCGTTCGCGCGCCAAGTTCGAGCCGTCGCTTTGAAAGCGAAAAGGGGGCACTTTTGGGCGATGCGGAATCCGTTTAACAGTGGTGAGTTGCCGTGTGGTCCGTCGGCCCCTCCAGGGCGTCGGGGCGGTGCACTGGCAGGGCCCTGGCGGGGCGCGGGGCGTCAGCTGCCGTCCATAATCGTGTTTGCTCCGGCCGGCGTGCAGCAGAGTGCAGCAGACGGCGGGGACGCCGACGACGACCTTTACCTTTACCTGTGTGGTCCGGGCCGTCCGGGCGGCGGGGCACGCCGGCTGGGGTGGGCTGGATTTGGCGGTTGGGCGGCGGCATTTGAATGACGTGGTTCCCCGGCAGCCGGTGGCAGTGTGCCATTCCAATCCACTCGGCCCGGCCTCGTGGAACCTGAAGGCGCAGCGAATGCCTGCCGCCGCTCGCCTGACTTTGACCGCTATTCAGATTGGTGTCGCGGACTTCGCGGACGTGGCGTGGCGGTCAAGGTGCCTCGGTCCGCGAGTCCGCGACCACCGCGGCGGCGTGCACGCCCTGCGGCCCGCGGTGCGGCCTGCACCGGCGCGGCGTGCTGCACCTCGCTTCCAGTTCCACGGCGTGGCGGCGGCCAGCGCGGCGGGCGGACGGTGCCTGGAGGGGGCAGTGCGGTGCGGCGCGGCGGCGTGCGCCAACCTTGTCTGGCGGAGGGCAAGGCGCGCGGCCGCTGCTCCCGACTCCCCCCCCCCCCCCCCCCCCCCCGGCCTTCCCCGTCCCCGCCGCCCCGGCGCGCTAACGCCCGGACGCGCCGCGTCACCGGGCGTAGCAAGTTGCTGGCCGTGCCGCGCCATGCCGTGCCGTGGCGGCGGCGCGCGGAATGTGCGATGGCCTGGCGCGGCCGCGGCCGCCGCGGTCGGTGGCGTGGGTGTCGACGTGGTCGTGAACTTTGGTTCGACCTGCCCTCCTTCGGCAGCGCGTGCAGTGTTAGTGCCGTGTCTGTGCACGTGTATGTGTGTGTGGGTTTTCCTGGTAGTAGCCCAGTGGGAAGGGTTAGTTTAGGCTAGGTCGATGTGTGTGTGCGTTCCTGGCAGTGTAGCCGTGTGGGGAAGGGTTGCGTCTGCGCGCCAGACGGCCAGCAGCACGGTCATCGCCGACACGCTACACTGTTGGGAAAAGGCGGCTGGAATCGACGGCGTGCTCCCCGCTGTGCTGGCCGTGCTCGTCGAGGCCCTGGTCCTGCAGGCCGTTCCGTCCCGTCCGTCGCCCCGGTGCAAGCGTGCCCGTCGTCCTTGGTCGGTCGCGCCGCCTTTTTGTTCTTGTTGGGTGTCTTCCAGTGTACCTGCCGGGCTGCAGCAGGCTGCCTGCATGCGTCGAGGAGACTCACTGGTCTGGAATGGGGAAGGGGGGGGGGGCGTGGACCAAGGGGTGCCCGAAGAATGGCCGTTGGCTCGCTCCGTGAAGCTCGCCGTTGTTGACCTCCCCGCGCACCTTCCCGTCGGCCTTGTGCGTGGACCGCGCCGTGGACCGCGCGGGGCAACGAACGGCCGCGCCGCCGTCCTCCAAAAACTACATAAAGTACGCGCACTGTGACGGCGGCGAGGTCGCCGCGGACGGCCGGCCTACC